ATTAGTGCTGCTGCTGAGGAAGGGATAATTCACAGGCTGACCAGTCCATGGGCACCCTCAGACTGGATCTCAGTCTGGTGGAAGTGTTGGGAGAGAACTAAAAGGAGTATGGAAATGGTAGAAAACACAGGGCCAAGGGCCAGAAGATAAAAATGAATTGGGGGCCAGACTTCACTAGTTCTGTTCCTCCTGGAGGGTGATGTTTGATTATTATTAAAGTAGTACTAGAGCAGACTGCTGAGTAAAATAAATGCACAGAAGGAAAAGAGCAAATTCTCTTGTTTATGTGGAGACCTGTTTCTAAGTTTTTTTCCTGCACTTGGGAATAAAAAAGGTCAGATTCTTTGCTGTTGTGGTGGTTTTGGACAAACCACCATAGAATTAGAACTCCAAATAGGTCACTCCCCTTTTGTTTTTAACTCCCATCACCCCCTCCAATAATGGAGGGGCAACAGGGAAAAATATAAGAAAAATAACAATTTACAGAAGGAAATAGCAGGAACTGTAAAGATACAGAGGAAAATGTTTTAAAGCAACAAATAAGAATTCCCTGGTCCCCTAGGACAAAAAGCAAAAAACTACAAAATGGCAGCTGTTCACATGCTGCCAGCTCAACGTGTGGTTTCCCAAAGACATAACGGCAGAAATTAAAAAATAACTATATGGGATAAAATATATAATTGATCACACCCACCTAATGCCAAACCCTGCCTCCTTGCCCTGTAACAGGGACAGTTGTATAATATCTCAACTGTATAATATCCCAGCCCTAAACTGTGCTGAGGACAGACCCAGTACAAAATTTAGGCAGATAAACAATTTCCTTTTTTCTCCTCTTGCCCATTTGTTCTTAGACCTGTGAGTGCCCCGTGTTCTGCAAGTCCACCCCCCAGATCAAAAGCAGTAATGAGCATCACCCCTTTGCAAGAGAGAGTGAATGTGTTGTCGTTAGCATCGCTTCGGGTCCCACACTTTCATTAACTCAAGTGCTGGCAGTATTGCTGACAGGATGACAATTTATACCTTATTACTAATGCTGCTGTAAATGGTCACCAAGGCTGAGTGCAGTGTGGTTGACGAAAGGGGAGCATTTCTTCTCTTTCACGCTGCCTCAGCTGGCTCAAATTGCCTTTAAAGGTTTCGCCATTATCATTTGCCTCAGAGCGCATAAAAATTCATTATTACATGCTCAAAACCAACTTCTTCCCCTTCCCTTCCTGTGGAAGGGCATTGTGTTATGTTTACTTTCCTTCTTATATTAATTTATTAGTATTCTTCCCACTTGAGCTACCTCTGGCTCTTGTGCTTCCTGACCATCTCACTGTGTGTACACAGTGCTCTTTGTTTTCATTTTTACTTATGGCCAAATTCCAGCTGCTTGGAAATTTTTTTTGTCTGAGACCTGCTGTTGCTCCAGTCCAGATTTGCTGCACAGTGTATACAAGCCAGTGGAGCTGAATTGTTTAAGTGAGACAATAGATGAGAATTAAAGAAAAATTCCTGTTGAAGGACCTTGAAGTGTTTGGTAAATGTTATTCCACAATAACTGAGATTTTTTTTTTTTTTTATTATCTCAACAGAAACATTGGCCCTGCTTTTTTTGTTGATACTACTCATCTTATGACTACTGAACAGCATCAGCAGTGCTAATTAAAGACAACAGCCTGGAGAGGCAGTTTGTGCTTTGCAGAGCTGTGTGGCAGGTTCTACAGCACTGTCTGTAACTCTGTACAGTGTGCCAGTGCTGCTGTCCAGAAGATACAGGAAAGAGAAGCTGACCATTAAAGCAATTAGTTTAGAAAAGGAAACTTAAATTTTTCCCCAAGTTTGTTGTTTTTTGGTTTTTTTTTTTTAAGAAATAATGTTACTTATTGCTCCCAGAATAACCCTGATGCTCCTTTAGGCTTCCGGGGCTTAGGGGACTTGTCTATGGTTGATGCTCTGGTCCTGGCCTCATCCAGAAATCTTCTGCAGTATCTCAAGTATCCCAAGGCCAGGTCGGGTGGGGCTTTGATCAACCTTTTCTAGTGAAAGGTGTCCCTGCCCATGGCAGAGGGCTTGGAATGGGATGATCTTTTAAGGCCCCTTCCAACCCAAAACATTCTATGATTCTATGATGCGTTCTGCCACTTTTCTTACCTACTTGTAGTTCAGCTCCTCGAACACCCAGAGCAGTCAGGGCTCATTCACCTCCCAAGCAGTCACTGTAGTAAGCATAATATAAAACTTGAACTGCACTTTCTGAGGAAAATGGAACAAAACTAAAATGGGGATAGTGGTTTAGTTTAGTTTTTTGTTTTGTGTTTTTTTTTTTTGTTTTTGTTTTTTGTTTTTTTTTTATGTCTTTAAAGTAGTGTGGAATATAAGATTTCAGAATGCCTTATGCTGTAAAGAGAATATCCTAAGATTAAGCCAGTGGAAAATTGGAATTCAAAAGATGAATTTGTGTGAAAATTGGAATTCAAAAGATGAATTTGTGTGAAATTGAGAAGATTCTTCATGTGATTCTTAGAAAAACCTTTAGCACTGAATTCATCTAAACAGTTCTGTGTAAGAGCAAACAAGGGGGGGGATGAGTAATGTGATATAGGTCGTAAGTAATAATTAATAATTATATCAAAAAAGATAAAGCAAAATTTCCAATACTGTTTTAGGAAAAATAGCCTGATTATCTTAGTATATACTTCAATGCAAGTATGTGTCCTTGGTTGCTGAATGATACCTGTGATTTTTAAGAGACCAAGCAAAATTTCATGTTTAGTGCTCTTCCTGTTGAATTTTTAAAAACTACCCAACATTTTATTTCTGTACACATGCAAATGGCTGTTGACTGCTCAGTTACTGTTGGATTTGAAATTGTTTGATTAGCTCAAAAGAACCTTGAGAAAAGTTCCTGGAAGAATTTTAGAATTAACTAAGAACGTGCAAGGCAAGTTAAACAGCATCAAGAAAAATCTTCTTTAGTACATTTTCCTGATGTAACATACATGAAAATTGACCAGAGCTCTGAAATCCTACTTCTGTCTCTTCCCTTACTTGGAATTGAAGTTATGTGTCTAGTTCCAGAGGTCACAGTCATATTTATTATTTATATTCATTAGAAAACAATTTTCAACAGCCAAATTTTTTTTTTAGTAAATGTGAGAAATTAATTTGCGCTTATAAATCCTTACCTAATTAATCTCTGACAGATGGTGCAACTGGTTTTGACAAATCTAACCTATAAGATCATTCACGATAATGAACAACAGGAGGCCTTAAGTTTAGACTTTGAATATTGATTCAGTCATGTAGGAAATAACTTAATAATCATAATGAAATAATATCAATAAATGTACTAGCAGCTTGTTTACAAACCTGTATACTGGCCAAGTCCATGCTATCACAATTGTTCTGCATTGTTTGTAAATTGAAAGATTTTGGGCAAGCAATTCCAGCAGCAGTTAAAGTAAGCCTGTCTGTGTTTTCCATTTTAAGAAGCAACTTATATTCTAGTAATTGCCATAAAGCTGTGGAATGTTGTGTGCTATAAAGCTTATGTAATGTGCTTTGTGCTGTGCAGTGTATGCCAAGTCCCTCTCGTAGTCATCAGATATTTCTTTAAAAGAAAGTTAAACACCCTTCCTTTTGTTATCTTTGAAATGCTTTTTCAATTTACAAAATCTGTAGTCAGACATCAGAAACAGGGCATTTATACAAGTTACCACCAAACAGTTGCACTTGTGATATATGCAGGAAACTCTAGAGATTTGAGGAAATCTGCTTACATAGCACCACAAATTTACATCTTTGAAAGACTGAGTTTCACCATCATACAAAGCAATGTAAGGATCTTATATATTTATATTTACTGTCAGTTTTCCATGTTTATTCTGAGTATACATCAATCCTCGGGTTATCTTCATCCATATCATCCCGGTGTTTGAATCCATAAAATAGATCAGTATCTCTTGGGGTTTTTTTTCTTCCTTTGTGTTAAAACAGACTGCTCCAAATAAGAAGTTGTAAAAGTTTTATTTAGATTTAAGAGAGTTTTGGGAAAAAGAATGGAAGCCAGCATCCAGAAGAGTGCAATTAATAAACTATTTTATAACCATCTGATTTCTTTTATGTAAGTCTCTTACTGTTTTACTTTGTTCAGTTTCCTTTGGTCCCCTACCCTTCTGAAAATGTTTCCACTGAAATAATTTCCGTACAACACATTACAACTTGCAAAACATACATCTAGATTTTCTTTTAAAATTACCAGTTTTGCAGTTCCTGGGGAAATTTGGCCTAAAAGCATTCTTCACAATCTTGCTGCTTCTGCCTGAAGTCTGATGAAAACTTAACCTTTGAAGCCTCCTTTGCTATCCTCACCTTCAGCTGGGGGAATACTACACTCAGTTTTATCACAACTGTAGGTTTGAAAGCCTGATGCTGGCAGAAATGGGGATTCAGTGGGGTATGGACAAATCAGGAGGGAGTAGAGCAGCCCTGAAAGGGCAAGAGAGGACATGTAGGAATCTGTCCCTTGGGAGGACAGGGTGTCAGCAGGACATACCTTTACTGTTTCTGTGCTTGTTGGGAATGAGGTACCCATTTTGTGGGTTGTGCAAATAATTATAGCATCTTTTGCAAGTATATCGGGGGTTAGCCAGTGACTCTTAACCTTCTGCTTGTAGGAACATCATCAAAACCAAACCGCTTATAATTCAGCTGCATTTACAGCCGATAAAACCAGACATACACATTTTACCCAGCTGAGGTGTATTTTGGAAGCCAGCCTAGAGCCCGCGGTAACATCTAATGACTACGTGCAGCTTTCCACACCAAAACCACAATGCAAAATTCCTCTTTTTTAGAAGGAAACTGAAATAAACCCTCAGCCATTAAATAACCCTTGTTTTGTTTGTACTTTTGCTTGAGGGCATGGTTTCTCCCTGTTCTCCCTTAAATGTTGTAATGGCATATTTCAAAGGTAAGCGTGTAAAGCTGTTTCCCTTCTTTTTTAATTACAGATCCCTGTAGAGAAGATATATGGGAGAACCAAGAGTAAGTTTCTCATATATCCAAGATTTTCACTGAGATTGAAGAATTGGCCTGAATATGAAGAAAGATTTTGAAATATGATTATTTTTAGATCTGCTTGTGCACCCTACAAGCTAAAGAAATTCAAACCTTAAAAGATCTCTATAAGAACTAGTAAAGCTGCTTATAGAGGTTTTAGTTTTGCTGTTCTGTTCCAGTATATTTTTATGAAAAGTGAGAGCAGGTAATTTACAGTAAAAGAACAATAGGTCTGAGACTAATGAAGAAATAATTCACTATAATTCTATTAAAGTTAGTCCAAAGTCTTACTATGTTGTCCAACTGATTACATTGAAGACAAACAATAACTATATCATGCAGATTGTTTTTGAGAAAAGCTCTAGGCATTTTTTTGATCTAAATATTTTCAGAATTGTCATTTAGTGTCGTTTTGGAAAAAAGGCTCTAAGTCCCTCCAGACTGTTCAGAACATCCTTGATTCTTTTTTAACTACTCTAACATACAAGGAATTAGTTGTTTTCCAGATTTGATTTGACCTGGGGAACAGTTAAGTGATCAGTTGAAGACTGCCCAGGATCTGTTAGCAGGACAGGCTGGTTTCAGCTGATTTGGATATAGCCCAGATTGACATTCAGAAAACCTGTAGTTTTGGAGCACCTTATGGGGCACCATTAAACTTGGCTACAACTCTGCAGAGAAATCTCTTTTTTGTATTTGCTTTTTTTTCATCCTTAATAGGATCAAAAAAAAGCATGTTGTCTTAAAACTTGTTCTAGTTGTCATTTCCACTAAAAAGCACCTCGGTGGATCAGTGAGGAAGGCAAACCAGCTAGTTATATTAATCAAAGACAAAGCAGGCTCACTTATTTAGAAATCTGGGTGAGATATGGACTTCTGAGAGTAAAACAGTAAACCAAATTCAGTAGAATGAATGCTTGGCCTGAAGAGACACATTCTTTGCCAGACAATAACTTGAAAGGATTTCTGTGTGGAAAGGGATCTGAGAAGACAACAGTATGGAACCCAGACATGCAGTGCTGTTGCAACCAGTTTGCTCTGATAATCATGTGCTGGAGGCTGAGGCAAAAGCTGCTTAGGACAGAAATTCTAAGACCTCAAAAAGTAGTAGTCTCATTCTGGAGAGAGTCATCAATGGGTAATACAAAACCAGGAAAAGCTACTGGAAAAAACCTGAGCAAAATACAAGGGCAATGACATTATCAATTTTGAAAGTGAGACTATGGACTCTGATATACCAAGGACATTTCCACCTTACTTTTTGGATAGAAAGCACCCTGTCTTACTTGTGCGAAACTACACTAATAAAGTCCTCAAAAGAGAGAAAGAGGATGATTACTTTCCTTCTTTGGGAACTAAAGGTATCCCATGGTATCAAGATGCAAATCCAGGAAAATACAGCTTTGAACAACCTTGTCCAGTCAAAGCTCCTGGCAGGGGGTTAGAACTGTATGATCTTTAATGGCTTTTCCAACCCAAACCATTCTATGATGCTATGAAAATTCCTTTCAGGGATCCTATGAAAGCATTTTTTCAGGTGTGGTAAAAGCATGGCAGTGTCCTTCAGTGACCATGGCTATGTCCATGGGGAATATTTTTGGGGTGTTTGGGATATTGCTGGGGCAATCCGAACTGGAGGGGGTTGGGAGTGATGGAAGTGCAAGGGGCTGAGACCTGTATGTTATGAAAGAAGTTTTTTGAGAAATCCTGTGCCAGAACTTGTGTCCATGTGCAACAAAATCACTATGTCAGTAGGCCAAATGCACCATGTGTGTGTTGCACTTGTGGAAGACACTGAAGTGGTCAGTCTACAGGAAGGGCAGGTTTTTGGTGCTGGTGTAGCCAGACCCTGCAGTGCACATAGGATAAGTCCAGATGTGTCACACTTGTTGCACAAATGACAGTGGCCCTTTGTCTGGGATGCTAACTGAGCTGTTGGATGTCTAAAGTCTTGAGAAATGCACTGAACTAGAAGCTGTTAAACCCTCTGAGTGCAAATAGCAAGTCAGCACATGCAGAGTATCTAGGACTGACCTCTGCAGACTTTATTACCAGCATTTGACACTTTCCCAGGATTTTAGAGAGCCATTTACATGTGGGACAAATCTGCATATAGAGACTGAAACTTTTTTCGTCGAACCATTTTCTTTTGATATGGACAATTCCAGGAGAGCAGAAAAAAAGCTCTAATGAGATGAACACAAGTGACCTGACAAAGTGTGCTTGCTTTGAGAAGTGAAAGGTCTTTCCAGTCATCTGGTGAAATTAATCTGTCATGAATTGCTCCACTTCCCTGCTCTTGTCAGATCTGTAACAGTGTTCATTATGTAATGGCACATTTTGACATGGTGAAGGTATGGTATATCTGTTCCCCTGTCTTATTACCCTTATTACCCTTCTCTAAAGTGAGCAGACTTTGGTGAGGTTCTGCCTGTATCTGGCAGCTTCTCCTGACAAAGTCCTTCTGGCTGCAGTTCTCTGACTGAGAGAGATACGCTGGCAAAAGTATGAAGAGATGGCTTGGCCTGGAAAAACTTTGCTGGAAAACTCGTGCAGCAGAGCGGCTTGTTTGGTCAGGTAGCTCAATTTTAAAGCTACCTGACTCAGTTTTAAAGCTACCGAGTCCAGGTGTGGCCCAAGAATTCACTTGCTTCCATGCCCTTGTGTTTTAGTACTTGTGTTAAAACTGCTGGGGAAGGATTCTAAGGAAGCCTAAAGGCTGCAGGTTCTGTGCTACACTGGGTAACCTGCACTCTGTGGGGGTTGTGCCAGTTTGCTCCTGGTAGGAAAGCTAATGGGATTAAATTTCTTTTTGAAGGAATCCCTTTGGATTTTAATTAAATGCATGTGCTAAATTTGTTTAAAACATATACTGGATGAGAAGTATATACATACATATATATGTAAAATATATAGGTTTGGGCTATCTGACAGCATCAATGAGGCATTGAAAACCCACTGTCTTTTTGGCTGGGAGTACATTTACATTTTGATGGATATTGTAGGGATAAAATGACCTGAAGTAATTTTAACATAGTCAGTTTGGGTGCTCCTTGTATTCCAGTCCTAGCACTGCAGAGTTGGCAGAGATGAGATATTTACCAGCTGCATTGCTGGTTAACAGGACCAAATCCCAGGCTCCTTCCTTTGTATGTCTGTGGGGCAGTTGTGTACTGGGTGCTCAGCTTGTTTGTCCCTGGCAGCCTCTTTTCTCCTTGTGATAGAACAGTGCTGAGGCACAAAAATCTTTGCTGTGGTTGTGTTATTTGCACCAGTTCTTTTCCCTCCTGGCATAGAGTGTAGCAGATTTTCAAGTATTTCTTTATGTTTGACATTGAAATAGGCCAGATAAATTTACCTCATATGTGTGACAGTGTTTATTTTTGTATCAGGTCACGAAGAGAAGATTGAAAAGGGAATACTGGAATTTTTGTTTATCTTTTTTACTATACATAGAGGTTATTGAAGTGTATGGAACTGAATGCCCACGGTACCAGATCAGTGATGTGTATGATGGGCTGAACCAAAGAGCTCAATTCAGTGTTGCTGGGTTCTCCCCTCACCTTTGTTGCTCTTGTGGAAGCATAACCAAGAAAGAGACACTCTTCTTCCTCCACCTAAGTGCACACAAATGGTAAAAATGAGTCCTTAAAACTTGCAAACCCCCTGTATTGTGGAACTGCCCTTTCTGTGGGGAGAAACGAGTGCAGTTTCAATACCAGTTCAGTAATGGCTCTGAATCTCTGCTCCCAGAGCTTACAGATAAAATGACATCCAAAGCAGTAAGTGTTGTCACTGTAAATGATGTTTCCCCAACTTTCAACACCTCTCAGCAATATGATAGCTGCCACGCAAAATATTTGCGATTAACAATTTGATTTTGTTTCTTTTTCCTCTTTCATAACAACTTGTTGGTAAAAGGAACGGTTTCATGGATACCAGCACACTGTTTGATGGAGTTTGGCTTCAAGCAGCAAACTGGGTCACAGGTTCGCTTTTGTGAAGCCTTAGTTTGCATTTCTCTAATCTAATTTTAGTAGACTTTTAACTGGACTAGTAATACTGACAATAATAGTAATTAAAAACATAACTGGTGGTGAATTTTTTTTCATGGCTTCTCTTGTCAGTGTTGCTGGAAATAATTAATCTGCGGTGCTGAGGTATAAATGACTTATCACTTCTATAATGATTTTATCCTCCACCTTCCCCAACCTTAGGCAGATATAAGTTTAAAGTGGCACTACTCTGTCTTTGGTCAGAAAATCATTCATATTAATGCTCTTTCAGCCTCCTAAAGAGGGATACATCATTTAAAATTGTCATTGGAAAATATTACTCTGTCATCCCCAGCACGGTGTCTACATCTGGTATCCTGTGGCTGCTGGCAGTGACCTGTCTGCATAAAGCTGGGGGAGTTCTTAAGTAAGTACTGAAAGGTCCATTCTTTACTAAGTGTTAATTGTGACCAGACAAAGATTAGCAAATGCGTATTAGGGAATAATCCTGCAGGATGGATGGAAATACTTATTCTGGTTTTCCTGATCACATCCTCAGGGATTGCTTCCTGCCTTGTGAGAAATGCTTTCCTGGGATGTATTTGGCTTTTAACTGACCAGATGGCAGCTTTTATGTTTTTGCACCTACTTTTCAAGATCATGAATAAACTTAATACAAGGTGATTCCTACTGTGCTACAAACAGGAGCCACGAGAATCATCTCCAAGCTGATTTTTGGATCCTTTGCCAAATGCATTTGGGATGAGAATAGCCCCTCTGAGTTTTGGGCACAAAACGCTTAACCTGCTGGTGTTACTGATTACTGTGAAACATGGTGCTTGCTCTGTTAAGGGTTTATTTGCTGATTTAGACCTATATAAATGCAGCCCAGCTTGTCAGATAAAGTATGTTGTGCTTTTTAATTTTTCAGTCTGGACTAGAGTTGGTTTTTTTCCCTCCCTTTGTTTACAAAACCCTCACAATAAGTGAAACAGCATTCCCTTGTCCCCTCAGAGTTTAGATAAAAGAGTGGAGGCAGAACTATACTTCACCAGTCACTGATATGATCAACCTTAATTAATTTGGTGTCTTATTGTGGATTTGTCTCCATGAGAGATTATTCCGAGCATGCTCCCTAACCATGCACCGACTGTTTCTTTGTGGTTTGCTGCTAGTGAGACTATCTTTTGAGAGACTATTTAGATGGCAGAGTCTCTGCCTGGTGGGAAAAGGTTTTCAGTGCTTGTCTATTGATCTTATAGTTTTGTTGCAGTGGGGGAATAAAACTTCAAGCATGTTTATATGCTTAGAAGCAAAGAGTAGTCTTCTTTCCCCTGCATTCCTAAGATGTCATATCTTAAAGGGAAGTAAAACAGAAAAAGAACAAATTTATTCTCAGACTTTGGAAGACCATGAATTATTTATCCTTTGAAAGCTTCCACTATCTCTGCATGAAAAGAGGTCCTATTATTAAAAGAGAGGGTTTCTTTCGCTGCATGTCAATAAGAGGGAGATCAGAGTTTACTGATTATTTTGCCATCTTTTCCCTTAGAGAACTGGGCAGCTTTAGCTGGTTGGCACTAAGAAACTGTTTTTAAAACAACAATTAAAACAACTTCTAACAAGTTGTTAGATTTGATATTAATGTGAGGGTGTTCCTACAGGTGTTGCAGTTCCAGATTCAGCTTCAGAGTGTATATATACAGCCACTGTGAATTGCTGCTTCTCTGAACATGATGGTATGGCACATGTTGGTCTTGTTCTTGAAGAAAAAAGCAGTGAACCTAATTGTTATTTAATTGAAATATTTAAAAAATGAGAAAGGTAATAATTTGTTTCTCATGGTGGGATCGAAACTCTTTGTCTGCCCCAGGCATCTCCTCCTTGTTCAGGGAAACAGCGGCCTGTGATACTTGCCCTGTAGGGAAGTGTTGCAATCACTGTCCCTGGAAGCATTCAAAAAACATGTGGATGTGGCACTTAGGGACATGGTTTGGTGGTGGACTTGGCAGTGCTGAGTTAATGGTTGGTCTCCATGATCTGAGAGATCTTTTTCAACTTTAATGACTCTATGATTCTGTCTGGACTTGTGTTTCAAGGCACCTGTTAGTAGCGCTTCAAGTCAAACTTGCAGAAAACTTTATGGGATGACATGTCCCCCCCCCTCCTCCAGTGACAACCAGCAGAGTAAGTGAAAGCCCTGGCAGTTTCAATTCTGGGCAGCACCAGGTCTTTAGCCAGGAGACTCTCCTAATATCTAGTTAGATATTCTGGTCAACACCAGGACTGTATGTTTTTCTGTTAAGCTGCCACTATAACATTGTCCCCTTTACTGCTGTTACCAGACTCAAATGGTCTTAAATGTCACTAATAAGGGCCGCCTTATTTTTTATTGAGTGACAGCAGACTATGATAAATCTGACAAGTCTCCTGCAGGTTTTACAAAAATCCAATAATTAAAAATATCCACACACTATTAATTATAAGTATATATGAAGCTATTAAGAGCTGCAGCCTGGCAAAACATTTTCACGTACATTTGGGTTTAAGCATATGAGAGACTTAAACCTCTTAAGACGCTTTGCTGAATTAAGATCAGAATTCCCCAAAGTGTCCAACACATATTTAACTACACTTTTAAGGCAAAATCGACCTCCTCCATATACTATTAATAATGCTTGTACATTAAATAATTTTTCATGCAGTCATTTTCAAGCACTGTACATAGAATCCAACGTAGAATCAAACAATACAGGAGCTCAAATAAAGCTGACAGAAACAGAGTTCTGAAGGGATAATCTCGCATCACTGTATATACCATGCAGGAGATAATGGAGTTTTGCTTGTTTTTCCTGACTTGAGCAGAAAGAAGGCTCCAGGTGTCTAAGATTTAGACTGCATATAGCCAGTTCTTGTGTCTTTTTTGGCAGCATGATGTTCTCCAGGGCTGGAATGTTCAACTACCTTTGTTTTCTAATAAATGAATAAGTGTGGATGAGATGCAATTATTGAAGCAAGTATTTGCTACTGACCATTTTCTTCCCAAAATGGAGGATGTAATTCACCTTGAGCAATGTGTATCTATCACATTGATTTCCACCAGAAGACAGGCAGAAAAGAAGTACCCTGAAGGCCCGTTCTTAATGTGGTTCCATACCTGCACCATTGTATTACTGATGTTCAAATTTTCACGTGTTGGAAAAAAAATATTTAGATCTCCTGACACTTTTTTCTAAAAAAAAAAAAAAAAAAAAAAAAACAAACATTTATACTTCCCTTTTTTTTCACTTGTTTTCAGATGTCTGTTACTTGTTATCTTTGACAGCAAGACCCTGGAGACACTCCTGAGCTCTGGAAGAGGACTGAGTCCTAGCTCTGACCATTCTTGGGGGAATAAGGCACACACCTTTGGCATTGTCAGTTGACTCTGAATAGCTGTGTAGGTGCTGTGCACTGTGCCATGCAGTTCTTGTGTGAGAGGTGCCCTCAAGTTTCCCTACAGAACCTGAATTTTGTAATGCTTAATCACTGAATCTCAACTGGGTTCATGGAGGAGATCTTAATGGGAATTTTCAGCTGTAGGTAATCAAATACTTCTGCAATTTTGCCTGTTCGTAGAATACTAATCGGAGAAGTTGCTTAAAGTAGATTTATGTGTTGCAAAATTGGTGCTGGTGGGTTTTGAGCATTGCTGAGGGTAGTAACTGGTAGTAAATACTGCTACACTAGGCAGCTGCAAGGGGAAGGAACAGAAGTAAAAGCAGACACACATTGTGGTTACTCCAGAATGTACAGGTGGATTCTAGGAGCCCTATATCCAAGGTGTTATTTTGAAGAAGATCAAATTAATGCTGGATGGGTCATGGTAATGATCAAAGGAAACAAGGTAAGGAAAGGAGAAATGCATTTTGCTTTCGTTGCCAGTTACCTGTCTTAGATAAATGGTCAAATATTTGATTTCAGTATTGATGTAAATAATTTAGAGTTGTTTAGAAAATTGTCTATTGTAGGAAAAGTGGAGACTGTCAGGATGGGAAGTCGATGGATGTTTTGGGAGTAAGTTCTTGATTGATGTGGACTGTATGAACTTCTTTTACTCAAAATGTGTAGAGTTGTCAACATGACATATTAGCTCAAAGTCATCACACATTTCTTGAAGTCTTAAAAGTGTTAGTGTACCAAAATAAATGTCATGTTTTATACTTGTGGGATCCTGTTAGCAGGCATATGTTTAAGACTTCAAACAGTACCTTTGTCTGGAATGATGTGGCTACAAGAGGGGTTGGGATCTTGACTTTTTAGGATAATGTGAAAAATATCATTTAACTTGGACTTTTTTAGGAAGTGTGGATAGAAACAAAAGTAGCCTTGTCTAATAGCATTTGTACTGTCTCCTTCTTTGACTATAAAAACCAAAGATGTGACTTTTAGCATGAAGCTTTCTGCTGATTGGGGAGTTGCAAAGCAAGTGGTTGTGGAAAGTCGGAAACTCCAGAACTCCTCTTACAGTACACTGAAGATATTTTCTGCACTTTATAGCCTAACTGTGACAATTCATCACATTAATTAATTCGTTCCTGATTACAGTGAAAGACCTATGCATTTCTCCTTATTTACTTTGATTTCTTTTTGAATAGAACAAAAGGGTTTTTTGAAGCATCACTTCAGCTGCTGAAAAGGAAAGAGAAGAGAATTGCTTTTGTTTCAAAGTATATTTGCTACAGGTATGAATTTGGAGGTCCTAAAAAGCGAAAAGCTAATAATTGTGAATGCCTGTGAAAGGTTTATCTTTAGAACTCTGATCTCTTTAAACTACACGACACTTGAAAGATGTGAAAATGTCTCTTGTGTTAAATCACCTAAATGTGAAATCTCAGTTTATTTCCAGAATGAAATGCAAAAAAGAAAAAGCTACCTGTATAATTTTGCATTGAGGCACAGAAATGTGGCTTTCCTGACACAATTTAAATAAAATGGGAATTATAACATATTTAGCATAATGAATTTAATAATTATATGAATGCCTAGAGCACATAGGGTTTGACATAATTTGGGTCTGCTTATTCTAGTTTGTACATGGAATACATGGCTATTCATGTTGAGGCATTTCATGATTTTTTCCCAATTAATATTTTATAAGTTTTTGGAATTGCATACAGTATCTGTTTCTACAAGAAACCCACATGATGTTCAAAGCAGAATGCAGTGTGATCATCTCTTTTCTGTTTACGGAATGCCTTTATGTGAAGACAGATAGAATTTTATTGGCTGTAAAATATTTTGGCATTTGCTACAACATTAGGGGTTCACACCAGAGCTGTTCATACAGATGTCCTTTTCTTCTCCCTGTGGTTCATTTTGAGTCCTTTGTTGCCCTTGAAGTGAGAGGTGATTGGGGGATCTTTGGGGGATCCTTATAGGTGCTTTAAAAACCCATGGGACAAAGCTCACAGCAGAAGGGGAAAGCTGCTGATGGTGGTTCTACTTTGTTACTGAAGAGATGATGCCAAATGCGAGTCTGAGCAATAAAGAAAGGAAAAATGGCCACAATTCTTAGCATTGTGTTGAGGAACAGGAGGCAAGCATGTGAGTAACAGGGAAATTTACAGTGGCAGGCACAACAATTAAGATGTGAGTTGAGTGTATCTAAAATATTTTCCTAGGGTGAGAAAGATGATACCCTTTGCTGCAGTGTGTCCCACTGTTGTATAGAGTTTTGGTCAGAAAAATCTTCATAAATGTATTGGCTCTATTTCTTGGCTTGCTTGTTTCTTAAAAAAGAAAAAAAAATAATGGCTTTCTGTCCCACCTCAGTCTTGCTTATCTACCAATTTTGCTACTTCTTAACTTTGTGCTTTTTAATACCAGAGCATGTTTTTAACAGAGAGACATTGCATGAGATGGCCTTTTAGAAGCACAGATAGATCTCAATTTTAATAAATAAACTTCTACATTAAAATCGTTTTAAAGAAACATTATATTCAACATGGTGCCCTTGGAGAATATCCTTGGTAGTTAGTTTAGGAGCTGAAGCGAAGCTGTTAAGTCTAAAATGGGTAAGGCTACAACCTAATTTTCTGTGACAGAAAAATCACCTAAGAAGCGTATGTGTATATTTACATCTACTATAGCTGTACACAGACTCTTGTTGGTTTTGGGGCTCTTCTGGTCCTGGTGTCACGTGGATGTACACCCAAAAAAAATGGTTTCTATGGCAGTGTGCTGGAATTTTCTATGTCTTCAAATTGCCCACACCCCTGTGTGGTATTCATTTATAAGATAGTAGAGCTCTTTAACATACCAACTGCGAATATCAGCCATACTTATATTTTTGTCTTTACTTTGAAAACATCATGTAAATGCATAGCAATTCCAGATTATCTGTGTTAATAACTCATGCATGGGTCAGTGCTGGCATTTCTTGGAGTCATGGCCCAGGGTAGCTGAAGCAGTGTTTGCTGTTCAAGGAAACCATGCTGTGGCTCATCACTGGTGCACTGAAGCCAGGAGCTGGCCCTTGCCCCACACATACATCTCCCACTTGTGCACCCCAGCTTGTATCTGCTCTCTCAGAGGCTGTGGCATAGTAGACACCCCTGTGAAACCGCTCCTTTTGAACACCACAATCCCTCTTTTACAAGGGATATGGACTTACCAGAGAGATAAGGGATATTTGAACATATACCAAAGTATGGGTTTTGGTAGGGTTAGGAGTTTCACACAGAATAGCAGAGTTTTA